GGAAGCCAAAAATTTGTTAAAATAATTATATTGCATTTTAAACACCATTTAAAAAAAATTTTTTTGGGAGGCATAGCTTTTCATATCTAAAAGAGAATTTAGAATAAGAGTGTTATTCTAGAAATTCATGCGTGACACAAGGGAGAGAAACCAATGTTTGGTATGCAAGAATCATTTGAAATGCTGAAATAGGTTTAATGGCTGAAATTTCAATTGCTATCATCACAGCATAAGCTCTATAAAAATCCACTAAAGCCTGTCTAAAGTTACTAAAATAGAAGAGGATATCTAAACAACACATAATTTTAATCACAAACTGCAAATAAGGACACTCTCCCCACCCCCAAGTAATTAGACTTAATCAAAAGCCAGTTTCTGTGAAATGAATGTTGAGTAAAAAAAGAAAAAAAAAAAAATTAAAAAATTGGCTGGATTTGGTTAATTCAAGAAAGACATTTGATTATTGTCTTTTATGAATAGCAAATTGAGATTATACATTAAGAAAAATAATGATTTCCCCTCAGAAAAGAAACGGGAAAATCTGTTATAAAAATAATCTCTGAATTAGAATTGTAATGTGCAAAATAAAGAATAAGTTAAGTATAAAATATATATTTTGGTAAATTGAATCGAGTTCTCTCAGTCACTGTGTTTATCTAAAAATAAATATGCTTAAATTCACCTTCATCCCTGCCATGCACCAACGGCTTAGTGTAGAATCCCTGACTGATGCCAATTCAGTTGGGTTTCAATCCTAGCTAGAGGCAACTGGCTGTCTAGCCACACTGATGAGTTGTGATACAGCAAAACAGTCTGTCTGTGGATGACTATATATATATATATATATATATATATATATATATATATATATATATATATATATGAAATACAATATATTTGGCAGAGTCAGGTGATGAATAAATCTCTCCAAAAAATAAAAAGAAAGCAGGTTTTCATTGGCTTGTGAACTGACAGATCAGCAACTTAAAAAAAACTTTAAAAAGGTTTTCTGGTAAAAAACAAAAAAACAAGGTCTCTTTCTTTAAAATTCTTTAGTGATAATGTTTTAGTTTGGTAGCAAACACAGTCTGCAAAAGGTTAGGACGGGGAGGTTTTCTCATTCACTTCACTCCTGGCAAGTAGCCACCAAAGATTTCTCTTCTGGGGACAATAAAAGTAGTCAATACAGACCATATGCATTGTACTACCAAGACAAGAAAATCTTTCTCCTGGTGAAAGGATGGCAGATTTGACTTTCAGTAAGAAACAGGGTGCAACTCTGGTGTATTGGCTAGACGACGGCCATGAAGACACCACTGCGATCACTACAGAACAATGACCATTGTTGCCTAAACACCTGTTTAAGCCACACATGATGTTATGACAATGCCACAGCATCTACAGAGATCATCTCAAATAATTCAAAAGTTATAGCCAAACAGTTTAATTTTTATACAATTGGATAAGCTTGCAATATTGCTTATGTGGAATGGAGGCTGTAGCTTGGAAAATAAGTATTTCCCCAACAGAATGGATAGTGACATCTCTTCTGACAAGTTATGGGTTAAATAGCAGGACTTGTATTTGGAAAAAATTATTATTTTTAAAAAATTGTTAATATTCACTGTTAAAAAGATTTAATTGATTAATTTGTTTTTACGGCTTATCAACACTTTGTAGATTATTTAAAGTCAGAAAAATATTTTTGATAAACTGAAATGATATCAATATGACAAACTCATATTTATTTTGATTGTTTTATTGTTATAATGCTGGTTATAAAAAAAAAATCTGTTTTTTTACTATGGTTGTGTTGAAATATGTACCAATTTGGTTTGCAATAATAAAATATTGGTATTTCTTAAAGAATATTTTTATTGACAAACAAAAGATAGCTAGTTTATTTAAAGAATTTGCAATAAGTTTACTTGAAGCTATATAAATGACACTAAAATATATCATGAGTAAAACATATTCAAGACGGGTGTGGGTTAGTTAAAGGTGGCTGTCCGAGGAGGGGGGGAATCATAATTTCATTAACCTAGGGGTCCCAAAAAGTCATAATCCGGCCCTGCTCATCGACAGTGCAACTGTTCATCATGTAGAGAAAACTCAGTGTCTGATCGGGGATGATGCAACATTACTAGCTTTGGTTTTGGGATATTGAAATTTACAAGCCAGTTTTTTGCCTAATTGCTTGATCAGAGGAGAGATCAGTGGCAAGGCCTGTCATAATTCTAATATAGAATTCAATTTAAATTCTTTAGGGATAGAGAACCATCTATAGGATGTGTGGATCGTGTAATCATTATCAGTGTGTAAAATGAAATTGGCAGGTTGAGTTCAAATTTCTTATAAGGCTTTTCATTTTGCATTGATATTCTTGATAAAAGCAAGAATCTCTCTTTGTCTCTCTCCTCCCTTACCCTGTTGGTAAATAGTAGGGCTCCATAGTAGCACAACCAGTCTAGGTAAAGGACAACTCTCAATAATTCAAAACAGTTGAGAAACTATTCCACTACTTTTTCAAGAACAGTCATGCCAGTTTCACAGATAAAAAAAAGAAGGCTGTGGAGTGTCGTTGTTACTTGCGTCTTGACGGGATATGGCAATAAAAATAATTTCTAATTGTAGCTCAAATAAAATTAATTACAGTTTTAAAGAAATTATTTTGTTTAATATTTAACCCCCCCCCCAAAAAAAAAACACCTTTTCTCTAATTTTAAAAAGTAAAACACTCCAGATTACGAATTTCAAACATTTTTTGTTAAAGAAATCCCGTTGTATGAGCATATTTTGTTTGGCTTCCTTTTTAGCGGAGAAGTGTTAATTTTTTACATTGACTTTTTTTACACTCAGTGTGTAAAACTGACCGTCGCCACCCTTTATGAAAATAAATAAATTAAAACTGAAAGTAAGAAAGAAAAAAAAAAAAAAAAAAAAAAAAAAAAAAAAAAAAAAAGATTATTTCTGGTCAAAGTGCCTAAAACAACTCAATCCACTCATTGTAATTTGGATTTTCAATAAAGGTTGATTTTTTAAAATTTATTTTGTCTCATGAAGCAGAAAAATATTTTTGTTGCAATCATTTGTTTGTAGTACTGCTTAGTTTACGGATTCATACTTTCATTTTTGATTTAAAAAAAAAAAAAAAAATCCCTACAGACAGCTCGTTCTTTTTCTGCCCTATCAATTTTCCCAGTATACATTTTTTAAAAAATCATTTCACCCCAAGAAAGGCAATAAAGCCACTAGGACGCAAGGGGTTATTGAGTGAGAGATATCGATATCATGTGAAGCCAAAACACACAAAAAATGGTGTTAAAAATTAAATTGCAGCAAAAACACAGTCAAGAGAAAAAAAAGGTCAAATAGCAAAATGAAATCCTGATTTTTCCTAGGTCAATTGAGAAATAAGAAGAAAGAATTTCATCATATTTATTTTCTAACATTTTTTATCGTTTCTCTCATTCCGATCGTTAATCAACGACCGTTGATACAGTTTACAATGGGCGAATAATACGGAACTTCTGAACTAGTTTTTTTGTTGACTGTATTTAAAAAAACCGTTAATGTTTTAAAATCTCATTAATTCATTTTGAAGACTGAAAAAATATTTTATTTTACTGAAAAAGATTAGAGATTTTTACAGTAAATAAAAAATATAAACAAAGTTGCTTCATAAGTTTTTCATTTTCTGAAGTCATTTCTTGTTTATTATTGATTTTGCTAAAAATAGATTTTTTTCAGTAAAAACTTGCTATTTTTTTTGTTTTTTTTTCATTTAAACTTTTTTTTGATAAATAGATTCAAATAAAAAATATACCGTCAAAGCAAAGTATTTGTAATTAAAATTTGAAATGTTTTTTGTCTCTAAAGCTGAATGTTTTTGACGTGTTATTTTTTTTTACACCATTGTTAAAAAAACAAAGTTGGTCTGCAACATATGGACTTTCACTTTCTATGTGTAAAAATCGATTTCTGTTCTAATTGCCATTCTATCATTTAATTAAAGTTGAATTTAATAAACCTTTATTTATTAGTGTGTCCGAAACTACTTTTGAATTATAGACGGTTAGAATTTCGATAAAATTGATTTTATCGAAAGAAAAAGAAAAAAAAAAAGAGGATAGTGTGTTTTCTTTCCTAGCGGGCGTAGATTAGGGTTGTTTTAGGTTTTATTTAAACAAATGTTGTCCAGCGTAAAAAGAAAAAAAAACAAAACTTATAGGAATTTAATAAATTTAAAGTCGGTATATCTACTGGAGAAGGACAATTTTGATTAATTCAATTCAACCCATCAGTGAAAAAAACAGGAATCTGGGGATATTATGGCAATTGATGATCTGACGAAACATGGCATTAAAAAATGGATAAATACTTGCTGCGTGAATAAAGTAGGACTTACAGTAGTAATAACTAAAAAGAAAGAAAAAAAAAAAAAAAAAAAAGGAAAAGCAGTTTTTAAAACGGTTTTGGAACACAGGTTTATTAATTATCCGTGTAAACAGAATGATTCCCAACGGTGACAGGATAAAATCAATTCCTTGTATTAAAATGTCCGACTTTGTTATAAGTTTAAGATTCATTCATGTATTGACAAAATTAAGACCTAGATTTTGAAATATTTTAAGACTTATTTTTAACCATTTTACCGCAAATCGTATTAAATGCTACCAGCTTAATAGAAAAATATAACTTATTCTGCTCTATTAAATTTTCTGTTGTCTTTTTGACTCGACAAGAAGGACTATAAAAAAAATATAGGGCGTAGGTATTATTGTTCATAGTTTTATTTTTAAGACTAAATTAGTCCATAAAAAGAAGGTAACGAAGCCCCATTAGGTAGACGATTTATCCTTTGTAAGAAGTACACTTGAATGAAAGATTTAGCGAAAAAAGCGAATGAAAACGAAAATACGCGATGGTTAACTTTTACAAAAATTAAGGAAAAAAAATGACCACATTTTTTAATCGATGAAATAAATAAACAAACTGACCTGGAAATTGTAAACGACGAAGTCGTACCGCAAAATTAGCCATAAGGGAGAAATTAAACCGAACCTAGCAATCAGAGGCAAGACTACGGAGCCAGTAAACCAATATTTCGTGATTTGCGGAATGCTTCTGTACCATTCACCAATATCGTTTGACGCCATGCTTAGAAAAAAATTTGCAAGAACCGGTGTCAAATGAAGCGCTTTCCGTTTTAACAAAAGGGACAGAAAGTCTCATCTAAATTTAAAAAAATTGACAATTCATGTGAATTAATAACTATTGCAGTGCACCGATAATCCTCTGACTGAACGAAAAAATTTAAAAGCTTCATTGTAATATTATTTCTAGATTTATTATGAAGTTTGCAGAAGTCCGGTTTATTTTATCCGGCTTTCGGAATGATACGTAAGCACTTCCGTTTTCTGAAGATTCTCTCTTATTATCATTATAAATGAACACTTCCGTCAGCTTTTTCTTGTCTGAATGTGTCGTTACACGTAGCTAATAGGAAATAAAACAGGTATATTACATACTTAGCAAGACTGACCACTTGATAAATGGAATGGGTATTTTGTTTAAGATCCCTATATTTTTAATTTAATAAATAACTAATAAAATGAATAGTCATCAATTTTTTAAGTATTGGGATACCAGCCGTAGAGCTAATCAGTGTGACACTGTGTACAGTACACATACTAAGTATGAGTGACAATTTCAGCTGAATCATTTTTTATGCATAAAAAAAAGTATGACCAACCGACGAAAATTTTAATCTTGACGTTTATATTTTTTAACCAATAGAAACACTTGTAGCGAACGCTAAACTTTATTTTCGAACATAAAGAAAAATCATTGAGTTACAAAAATAAATGAAAAAGGAGATTGTTCATGCAATATAACTTATCTTCTTATAAAAGAAAGACAAAAACTAAAAACAAACAAAAAGCAAAAACGGCCTTCTACCTCGAAATTCATTCATTGATATTCTATAGAGGACCCCCGAAACTTCCCACAGGCCCCCGGAGTGATAACCTGCGTGAGGGAGAAGGGGGCGTATCTGAAGGTGTGGAACCACATCTTTGAGGCGAAGGAAGTCTTCCCCGACATCCGTATAGTTGAAACGGACAATTCCACCCTTAACAAACTAAGAAACTTTTGTGTTGGGAGGGTCCCCGTGTTGCTCCATCCCTCCTTATATAGGGCGTTAAAGCTAATTTACCCAACGGACGTCGGCGGGATTGTCCTAGACGGTCGTATGACGACCGAATTAGGAACCGGAAATCTGGGACAGGCCGTCGGGGTCCTTACCAACGCAGATTTCCGCCCGGTATGTGAGTAGGCTTTTTGCATGTTTTCTTTTCTTTCTTTTTTTGCAGGCCTAAACCATGTCTGTCAAGATAGCGACGCTGAATGTGAATGGCTTGAGAGATCGGGGTAAGGCGGCCCGCCTGCTCCGGGATCTCCTATCGTTCGGCGTGGATGTTGCCGCGATCGAAGAGACCCACTTTGTTTGCAGTTCCGATGCGTGTGTGTTGTCTACCGAGTTTGTCGTCTATTCAGCATATGGGGACCGAGCTGCCAGAGGAGTGTCTTTGCTGGTGAAGCGGACTCTAGATGCGAAGGTGGACCTTGTGCATACCGATGCCGAGGGACGGTTGATCGTGGCCGATATTGCCGTGAAAAGTGGTTCGTTTCGAGTCGTTGCGGTTTATGCGCCCAACGACCAGGAGGAGCGGGTTTCGTTTTTTCGGCGGTTGGGGCCTTTCCTGGTGGATCCCAAGCGCTTAGTTCTAATGGGGGACTGGAATGCCGTCCTGGACCCCAAGATAGATCAGGGGGGGGGTGCTAGCGGGAGAAGGGTCGATCGTAGCCTGGTCGATCTGATCAAAAATTTCGGTCTCGTTGATAGATACCGGGTCGATCACCCCGGGGGAATATGTGGACGTGGGCTCTTAACTGGCCTTGTGACAAGGTAGTTAGCTACCTTGACAGAATGTTAGTGAGAAGGGCCGACATAGATCTGTTAGATTGTCCCACGTTCCACTGGGTAGGCTATACGGACCACAAACTCGTTTGTGCCCGTGTGGCGTTAGAACATAGGCCTAGAATGGCTGGCTACTGGAAGTTCAATCTGTCCTTACTGGACAGGCAGGACTTCCGGGAGCAGCTGACTAAATTAGTGCAGCGGGAGCTAGTGGGGCGGTTATCAGGGAATAGGTGGTGGGACAGACTTAAATGTAGAATTAGGTCCTTCACCACTGATTTCAGCAAACGGCTCGCCCTAGATAGAGCTGATAAGGTGAGGACGCTTAAAGCTAGTCATGCCCGGGCGGTGGCTGGGGGATCCCTAGAGATAGCCGTAGCTAAGGAGGCTCTGCAGCGTTTGAATAGCGAGCGCTACATGGGCCAGGTAATTAGGCATAGGTTAAGCAAGATGTCTTCCGAAGCCGTGAATATGGGCGCAGAGCTGCGCAGGGAAGAGGTCCGTCGAGGTGGCGATCGTTATATTCGTGAAGTCAAAACCCGGAAGGGCGCACCCTTCGGGCCACTGACGACATGTGCGAGGCGTTTCGGCGGCATTTCGAGAGCCGTTTTACCAGGGAGCCTGGTCTTCGTGAGGACGAGTTTCGCAGCTATTTGGCTGACTTTCCTCGGCTTTCGCCGACTGAAGCGGCTAGCTGCGAGGGAGAGGTTACCGAGGGCGAGGTCTACGCGGCTTTGAAGAAGGTCGGCAGAGGCAAGTCGCCCGGTCTGGATGGTCTGCCCTATGAAGTGTACTTGAGGCTGTCGCACATCTTTGTCCCGATTTTGACGGTCGTCTTCAACAACTGGTTCCGGCAGGGGTCTCTCCCGACCGGTTCTCCAGGGGTGTGATCACGCTGTTGAAAAAGGGCAAGGGTGTTGGGGGAAGCTAGACGACTACAGGCCCATAACTCTGCTAAACACAGAGTTAAAGATTATGGCCAAGATCCTGCAGGAGCGCTTGCAGTCAGTTGCCGAGTCTCTGTTGGGTCCCGAGCAGACCTGTTCTGTGAGGGTCGAACAATTCAGAGCAACCTGCATTTGATCCGCACGATCATAGAGGGTGTAAAAGACGACGAGTGTGCCGCGCTGATCAATTTGGATCAGTCCAAGGCATTTGATAGAGTTGACCATCGCTACCTTGCTACTGTCCTGCAGGCCGCCGGATTCGCACCCGACTTCTGCCGCTGGATTAGCCTCCTGTATCGCTCCCCCAGTGCTGTGGTACAGGTGAACGGAAAGCTGTCAGGCGCTTTTGCGCTGTCTAGGTCGGTCCGTCAGGGTTGCCCGCTGTCGCCCCTACTTTACGCTTTGGCGTTGGAGCCTCTCCTTCGCCGGCTGAGGGACGGGGCGTGCAGGCCGGCCCTATGCGGAATCGCCGTTCCTGGCGGGGATCGAGCCAGGGTTTCCGCGTACGCCGATGACGTAACTGCTTTCGTGTCGTCCCGCAGAGGCATCAGAGCAGTACAGAAGGCGCTTGATCGGTACGAAAAGGTGACAGGGGCCAAGATTAACCGCGACAAGTCGTCCGGCTTGCGGTTAGGCGCCTGGAAGGGGTCGATCTTCCAGGGCCCTTCGGTTGGACGGACGGTCCTGTCCGCATTCTCGGAGTGTGGTTTGGACCCGACCTCCAGCTGGAGAAGAATTGGTCTGAAGTACGAGCAAGGTCTACGCCGCCGGTCAGACTTGGCGTCGACGGAGGTTGTCCGTGAAGGGCAGGGCGGAGGTGTGTGCTACATACATTTTCCCTCTTGTCCTTTATCGATTGTCCGTACTTCCTCTCTGTGACGACCACAGGACACCGCTCGAGCGCGCGCTAACCTCCATTCTATGGAGGAGACGCGCGAATCGGGTCGACAGAGAAGTCTGTGCACAACGTCCGTGTCATGGGGGCTGGGAATGCCACACTTGCTGAGCCACAAACGTGCCTCGAGGTTGGCTTTCCTACGCCGCGCTTTGACAGGTGGAGATCCGATTATTGAGGGGATTGTGAGGGCCGCCTTCCCTCGCCTTACCATCAGTCCCCCAAGCTCGCGGGTGGATCGCCGTCGTAAACCCCGGGTTCAATCGGTTTTCTTTCGCGAGTGTCGGTCGGCCTTGTTGGCTGTCCCTTGGTCCAGTGACCTTTCTCGGCCTAGAAAGGACTTCTATCGTTTGCTAGTGGAGGGGGTCGCGAAAGATCCACTACGTGAGGATCTCGACATGTCGGATGATGAGTTTCGCTCTCACTGGTCTTGGGCGCCAGCGGCGGATTACCTCAGTAACCCTGAGTTTTCGCTTACCTGGCGACTGGCTCGGAATCGGCTGCCTCTCAACGACATGGCCTTCATATGGGGCTTGGCGGACTTGCCAGACTGCGATCGGTGTGGCCTTGGTCTAGAGGAAACGGCTTCGCACGCCTTCTTCCATTGCCCCCGTGTCCGCCCCTTATGGGACCATGTCGGCGAGCTGACGGCTCGTCTCGCTCCCGAAAAGCTTGTGCCCATGGATCGTGCATACGCGTGTGACAATGTGTCGCCCCCGTATTCCGGGGTGAAACGGATGGTGTTTCTCATGCTGCTAGCCACGGCCCGAATGGTGATATGGACGACGCGAGAGGAGGAAGTCTTGCGGGGTAACCGTCTTTCTCATCAGGATCTGATCCGATTCTTTGAGCATCAGCTCAAGACGAAGATTAGAACTGATAGAAAACGCTTGCATTCGACAGTCTTCAGCGAAAGATGGGTGACTGAGGCGAGCTTGGTTCGTGTGAACGGGGCTAGCCTTGATTTTCTGTTTTAGGTCAAGCCTACGTTACATCGGGGTGGCTTCCTGTGGTGCCCTCCCTTGGTTAGGTTAGACAAGCCTTGGTGTACCTAGTTAATGCGAGTAAGTGTTGTTTCTGGCCTGCCCCCGGCCACATCTTTAGTTATGATCCAGCCTGAGATTCCCAACCTCCCCAGTTTGTTTTTTTTGATCCCCCACTTTCTATCTCGACTGGGTCAGCTTTATACTTCCACATGCCCGTATGATTTTTTATCACCTTTCCCACTCCCTTAGCGAGAGAGCTGCTTGATTTTTTGTTCCAATGGGCAGAATACAGTGGTCCCCCTGCATTTTGAGGGTTGGAAGGGCCCTACTAACATCAGTTAACGTTTTA